CATGTGCCTGCACTCGCAGCGTTGACAGTTCGGCAAGTCGCAGTCCGTAGCTCGCAGCTCGCAGCCGAGTCATCCTGGCCCTACTGCCTCCTTAATTATTCAGCAGGATACACACATGAGCTCACATCCTTGCTGCCAGCTGCCCGGAATTAATGGATACAGCTGGAACGTAACAGAAAACACCGCTGTGCCACACAGCCACACAGCCCTGCCCCGCCTTCAACGCCCGCTTCCCCTCATTCAGAAAAACTCCAACTCTCCGCACTGAACATTCGCCATGTTACGCATACGCCCTGATGACATTAGTGCAACATTGCAGACAATTTTCGTTAGCAAAATGGGAAAGCCGCCGACCAGCGGCCAGCAGAGGACCGGTGGCCGACATTGGCCAAAAGACGCACCCAACACTGAAAAGAAACATATAGCTTTATATGAAATGGTAACTAAAAAAATAGGAAAGTTCTTTATAGTTTTGAACAGATATTTTAAAAATTCAATTTGCTTTTATGATGTTTTATTAAAAATTTGGGACAACAAAACTTTTTATCTGCATACCATATATCTCATATACTACTTATTATATATGCAACTTTAAAGTAAGTGCAGCAAAGTGTTCAAAAGCATTAAAATTAGCCATAGTTGTAAAGTAAAGTTAATGTTTTCAAAATTAAACAGCTGAACAACTTTGTAGCTTTTGAATAGTTTATATTTAAAAGTTAGGGATAAATAATAATGAAACAGTCATAAAAAAACGTTTTTCGTTGGGAAAAGGAGGATTTTAGCCATTTCGTATGACCAATTCAGCTAGTATTTCTTTCAGTGCACAAGCTCGCCAACACCCATTCAGCAATAGACGTGTGTGCGTGCATCGCAGTTTCACGTTGATTACGAGCACTTTATGGCTCCGTGCGACGTGTGGGCGTTGCTGTTGGATGGTTGTTGGATCTGGCCGAGTAGTACGGCCATAGACATGATGTCTATGCGTTCATTGTTGCAATTTTTACTTTATTATCAACGTCTGTAATCACTAAAACAACAGGAGCTGCCACCATCCAGCCACAACAAGGATAAAGGCAGTCGGGGGTTGATGGCAAACTTGTTTCGGCGTCTGTTATTGCGGCCAAAAACATTTCGAGTGGCGGAAATTTGATAAATGCCTGGCCTGACCCAATGGGCGTGGCATTTGCCAAGGGCTTATCTCCAGTGTACTTGTAGGTTATTTATGATTATTCCGCATATTTTTATGGCTTGCAAATGAGGAATGTGTATGCGACACAGCGGCGTAGTTAGGTGGGGATTTGGGGATACAGACGCCATGGATGTGCCACTCTAATTCGTCCAAAGCATACAATACTCCTATATTAGGAAAGGCTAACCTTAGTCACTTTCTTATCATTTCCTTGTTATGAGAGTCATTGCTTCTGTATGTACATATGTATGTCGGTGTAAGCTTTTCGTTATAACAGTTCGATAGCAGAAAAAGCTCGTCGCTTACAGTTACACTGGTATTACGTATACGTAGATGAAACCATCAATTTACAGTTACACAGCTAAAAGCTTTTACGATGTAAACTTGGAATCCTTGCAGTTTTTACGCAAGGATGTAGAGCAAAAGCTCTGTGCTATAAATTTAGCCATTACATACAGATCTTAGTCCTATCTTACTACCATAAAGTTTATTAAAGCAACTACACAAATGTTTTGAAAAAAAAATAAACTTAAATTTGGTCTTATTTACTTTGTAAAAAAAGGTGCAAGGGGTAAAAAAAACATACCAAAAAACATAGTTCCATACAACACAAAAAAAAAACAGAAGTTTTTGATAAAAATAAAATTAAATTAGACGTTAAATTTGGTCGGCTTGAGCTCACTTCCTTTGTAAATAGAAGCACACAAACTCTAGAAAGCGCTGAAAAACAAACATTAACCCTCGGTCAGAACCCATTTAAAAAAGAGAGTCGGGGATTTGGCTGATTGTAAAAAACAGCAAAAGGATTGCCCGTCGGCGTTAACCGAATGGGCGTGCCAGTGGAAATTGATTAAAAGAACAAGAACCCAAATGCTTTGTGATGCTGTCCGTATCCCTTCGGAGTGTAATCCTTGCAACAGCGTCTTTGGGATCGATAATTCAGACAATCAGAGCGATTGGGTTATCAAAACTTAGTGGCGGTCAGCTTGATTTGTCTATTTATGCACACTATACTTATTGGTTTTTAACATCGATCTAATTGGCGTTTTGCAACTCATTTCAGGGCACAACATGGCCTCAGCACAGATACGACATTTCTATAACACACCAACAACAATTTCTTCAACAACAACACGACAACCTTTACAACAACAGCAGCACACGAACAACTGCAACTGCAACAAACGGAAGCAATTTCAAAGCGATACGTTTCTGTGCCACACACAAACACAAAGCGAATCAGAGGCAGCAGCAGCCACAGCCGCCGCCGCAGCCGCAGCAACATTATGCCAGTCAACACTTGCGGCAGCCGCGACATCAGCAACAGGAGCAACTGCAACTGCAACTGCAACAGCAACAGATGATGTACCAGCCAGCGAATGTCGGCAGTCCTGGACCACAGATGAGAACTCTGCCAGCGGTAGAGACACCCAGAACAGGATGCGAAATCCTTTGGCCGACAGTGCTGCAGGCTGCGATGTTGCTGTTCTTCCTGTCGTGCAGCAACAGCAGGACCTGGCTCATCCTGCTGCCCCTTTGGTCGCTTCTGCAGGGACTTCGGAGCAGGATCGCCTCGCCACGAGCACTAGCCTATCACGCCTATCTTCCAAAGTCAGTCAGGACTCTACGAAACAACAACGAAAGCTCTTTCAACACGGCGTCGCCACAAAGGACTGCGCTGCTGTCGGCATCCTTGCGGATATGCAAAAGTTTGCACGCTCTATATTTCCGCTGGTCATCATTTTCAATCTGCTGCCTTTATTCTATGCAGGTAAGTACTCAATTAATTGTTATTATAGTAATGGAATTAAGTAGGTGGGTCATTACGTTTACCATTAACAGCTGGTCTTATAGTATTTAAATGTGGTTACACAGCAAACTTTAATGGTTCGGCGTGGGGTGAACCCCTCTAAACTTGTGTGAAAGTTGCTGCCCTCTTTTGCCCCGCTAAAAAATATGTAAGCCCCAGCCAACTCATGTAAAACAATTTTCCTACGTACTAATTGCCAAGTCTCGAGTGTCCACTAGCTCGCTTTTAGCCTGCCAGTTTTAAAGACTCCACTGAGTGCGCACTGTAGTCGGCTGGGTTGGTAAATAAATAATTGAAACTGTCGATGAACATTTGCAAATCTGGCCAAACAACAACTGAGCTCATTATTTATGTACGCAGTCAAATATGTATCGACTGCCAAAGGCAATGGAAAAAAATTTAATGACCGGCAAAAGTGAGCGTTCCCGACAGGAAGGAAGCAATCCGCTCCGGCACCCAGTCCCTGCCCCTCCGGATCCGAGTTTTCCTCTTTTCCATTTCGCTTTTTCAAACTCTTTGTGTGACAGTTTTATGTATTTTTTCTACATTTGAGGCTGGTCATTTTGCAGAGCACGCACAAAGGCAAAATTATAACAAAGTTGGGGTCAAACGAGGTTGAGGCCGAGAAGACAATGCGCTGGGCGGTCTTAATTGCTTCCCAGCCGCAAAAACAATAACAGCATATTCTAGAAGACCCTTTTTGAGGCCTTTGTGGCTGCTTTAGCAAACTTATTAATTAAGCGCGCTCATAATTATTTAAGACAAGCTGCCGGCGGAGCAAATTCAATCTGTGATCATTGCCCGATAACCAGAGCTGCAGTAATCAAAACGAGACTTAGGAGGAGAATCCCCCGCTCAGCTGCCTAATGTGGCAGAAGCGAAGGCAAACAAAAGCGGTGCCATTTCAAAAGAAATCAATGACAATTCGTTAAAGGCCCCCCCCCGGGGTAACCGCTCTCCAATTTTCCACCCCATCCCCCAGGACACTTCCCAGGACATCATCGACATTTGAGCAGCGATTAAAGACAATTGAAGCCGCAGATGCAGAGGCAGCAGAAGTCTGCTTTCTTATCAGTCGGCAGAGCTCTCTGGCTTGTGGAAAACTCTCTCTTGTGGAAAAGCTCGCGCCTGCGCTGCCAGGCCGTCCCTGTTATCATTTAGCCAGAGACTGCCGCTTATCAGTTGGCCAGTGAATGTTTGCTGGGTTATCGCGCCTTTGTTTGGCCCAAATAAATCGCTGACTTGGCATGCCGGACGGAGCAGGGAAAGCCAAAGACGCCAGTGCCCCAGGCACAGGTCAAAGTATCTGCGATTCGATGCCTTGGACGTAAAGCAAGAAAAAAACACACTCCCATTTATCTTGGGCGACGTCTTTGCCCTAATGAGATTTGCGCCAAATTAAATGAAATCGAAAATTAGGCGCGCCAAGTTCGTTGGCAGTTTAAATTGAAGACGCGCGAAGGCGGCAATTATCCACACAAACGGTCGAGTCGGAGCATAATGAGCGGAAGCCGAGGTTCAACAAGATTCTCACCTGTCAGCTTTTGCTCCTCCTGATGGCCTGCCACCTGGAAACCTTCAGGTTTCACCTGAAATCTGCCACCTGCCAGCTGTCTCGAGTGGCGGATTTGGCTTTGGATGGGCGATTAAAGCGCTCGTCGGCCCCTCGAACAAACAGAATCGACGGCTCATTGAGCCGCAGCGAAATGAAATCCGGTGGCAAACAACTTGAAGGATCCACTCGAGGAGGCTGCGCCAAGGAGTCCTGTGAAAGTCCTGCGGAAAAAGTGGAATAGGAAGTGCACAAAAACGAAATCATAAATTCAATTTGATTTATTTCACTGCCGTACTATTGGCGGTGGACTAACAACCGCCTCTCGATTCAAATGGCAGAGCTTTCACTTGATGTCATCGCAGGGTGCTCTCTCGCTTTTCCTCTGCGTTTTCCCACTTTTCCGACTTCACTCTCTGCCTTAAATGCCGTGGCAGCAGCCGAGCGTAGTCAGTCGATTTCTGTCGGCCGTGCGGCACACACACGCCACTCGCTTTTCAGCCAATTCAACCAGCTCCGCATTCCGCTTGCCACCAGCCTTTGAAGCGGCATCGCATCGCATCGGAACGCGTCATTAATCGCATCGTGCGACAGGACCCTCGAACCTCGAAGCTCGAATCAGTTTTCCCAGCAACGCGCGCACTTTTCCCGCTTTGGAGCTCCGATTAAGGTCCGCTGTCCTTTCCGCCTTATTGCTTCGGCCTTTGGTTTGCATTTTAATGTTTGCTTAAGCATTCCGTTTCGGTGTCAAAATCCAAAATCCGGCCAACTCAATCCCGGCGATAAGAAACGGAGAAGCGGAGAGCTCAACGCGGAATTGTTCGACACAAAAGTGAATTACAAATCAATTGAGAAGGCCCTTGGCAGCGAGACGTAAATATTCAAATGGAACCTGAATTACATATTCTTTTGAAATTGCCTTGGCTGTGGCGCACAATTGAGATATTCGGGCATTTATAAGATTGTGGAGCGGGCTATTTATGGTGATCAAAAGGGGGAAAAGGCTTGGGCGGTATATCCAAGAATCAGGTGGTGGACTTAAAGACTAAAATGCATAGTCGCTTAAATTTTAAAGCATTTAGTCCAATAATTCTCGGTATTAGTTTCGGTGAAACTAGAATACCTTAATCATTGATTACGAATGGAATTATCAAATGGGATTTCCTTGAATAACAACTAATATGAAAGCCACTCGTGTTGTGTATTAAATTATTGCGTTTCCACTTAACATAAATTTATGACACCTAGTCCTTTGACCAACGAGAACGGCCATGCAAATTGATTCTTGGAATCGGGCCACATGCCTATAGCTATACTATTCATCAAAAAATTCTCATTTTAGCAAAATGGTATTATTTGCATTGAGCGAATGTTCCCAGGATGAGTTCACGTTTTCAAAAGCAAACATACAAATGCGTTATTAGTTCACATGCACAATAGCCATACATTCCTAATCGGTAACCCTGGGTGCTTTCCTTGGAACGTCCTTACACAGGAGGGCAATCTGGGCAACGAAAGGTTACAAAACGAACTGGAGGCAGGCAATTGTTGGGGGATTTACAACATGGCCCTCGTATTGTTTGCAATGCAGCAATAAGTCCACACACACACTGGATAAGTGCGGAAAAGACAGAAGAAAAGGGGAAAAGTCCACGGCAGTTATGACAAATTTTGCTGGGTCTCACCTGTTTCGCCAGTTTCACCTGTTCGCCAGCTGCTTAATTGGAGTCACAGTCAAAGTCCGGGCGAACTTTCCGATTTCCGTTCCTGCAACGCGTGCCACTGACAAGTGACAGCTTTGATTTGATCTGGGGCATGGCTAAACGCAGTGCTTATCTTCCCATTCAGTACTTTTTAGATTAGAATATGTTTTGGTTGGATCCTGAAAATGGTATTTGTTGCGAGATATGATAGTAGTTGTACTTGCAGAAGTAATTTTCTGTTTATTTTTTAAGGCAAAGATTAATTCAAATAAATGCAATCCTTTTCAAGGAAGTTGTACTTTTATTTTAAACGTAACTATTTGTTTAAAATTTGATATTTGCCCTCACGTTTATTAAAAACAATAGTGACAACCAATTATTCCAACCGAATCCCAATATTCTAATATATTTGTAGACACTGTAAATTACTTCTATATTTAAATTCCGCTCACGTTTCATTATAAGCGGTTACTCAGGCCTGCCTAGCCAAATAGCATCTTATTTAATAATTACTCAGGAAAAGCATTCACATAATTGACTATTTTTTACGTTGATGTCCAGACACGCAGTCTACGAGTATCATCAAGTGAAAGTGCTTTCCAGGCTTCTTTGCCATATGCCGCAGTAAAAGTACAAAAAAGTGCGATTCACTTGCAATTTGCATGCAGTTCGGCAATCGCTGCGAAATTGAAACGTGCCAAATGTGCAAACAGAGGGCCGAAATCGTTTCCCACCTTGTTTGGATAGCCAACCAGGTGATAAGCAAACATAACCCAAAGGGATTCCCGTGAAAAGTCAGCGGAGGCTGGAAAACTCAACCCTTTTTCGCCAGCTGAGGCACTGCCACTAAATCAGGCTACTTCCACCAGGTAATAGAGAGATAAAATTCGCTACGTGTGGAAAATGTGAAGAAAAAGGGGGAAGACGAGGGGAGCCGGGTAACTTTGCAAATAATGTTACCCAGCCACTCGAGTGTTTAGGACCCTCACGCATAAATTATTTATTCATTTGCCGTCGCCGGGTTTTTATATGCATCGTTAAAATTTCAGTTTGGGATCTCAAAGTGAATTTCCTGGACCGGAGCGAACACCTTTGAGCCGCCCCCAAAACGGAAATAGGGTTTTTACGTTGGCTATTTTATAATGAGCTGCACTGGACTGCTAACCCGTTGCTCATATGGGTTTCCTTTGCTCCTTTGTTCATTTCATTTTCATTTCCATTTCTGCAAGCGATTTTCCCGCCGGCTGCTCACCAGAAAAGCTTCGTGCAAAACGGCGATGAGTGCTGGGCGTGGTCTCCAGTTCCCAGCGAAAGTGTTTATTTATTTCTGTTTGCGCTAGCATTTGAAATAAAAATAAGTTTTATTTCCGTTTTTTGCTGTTCGCTACCAAAATTATAATAATACCCTGTGGGTGCGGACCAACGTTGCGTATGAGCGATGTTTTTTCAAAATATTTCCCCATTCAAAACGCCGACTCGAAACTAATTAGCGCCCTATGCCGAGTACTTGTTGTTTTGAAGGCTTGTTGCAGCAGCTTTGGCTTTTGCCAGTTGCCAGTAGAAAGTAGCCAGCGTGTCCACGTCATGTGATATGAGCTGGGAAAATATTGTTAGAAAAGCGCTGCAACTTTTTCATTACATCAACTTGACGGCTGTGAAGCGAAAACTTTTTAGCAACCAGCAGGAGCAGTCGGAAAAGCGTGGAAAGGGGGAATCAGGAGGCTTTGCCAGCTGTGGATGCTGTTCCTTTAATTTGTATTTAGTTAGCGGACGATGCTAATGAGTTTACTGATTAAAAAAGGGACCGTCTTTTGATGTGCCACCTCTGGAACCAAGTTTGCACAGGGCTTACGAGCTTTAAGGCCTTATTAACTGGCAAAAAGAGCCATAAATTATTCGTCGTGCGATCAAACCATACTGGCATCTCCCGCCTGGAAAAGCTAATAGAAACTGGCTGAGCCAATCAATTACGAGTAGTTCCCAAAGTTGAAGTCATTCTCACTTAGCCAGTTTCTACAGCCAGTCTATCAATCTTCTAATCAATCTGAACGGACCAAATAGCCAGCTAAAGTTTCCCCCTGTGCATTATGAATTTATGGACCGTGGGGTAGTCGAGTGAAAACTATGCCGATTTCAATAAAAATCATTAACCGAGCACTCAAAGCCCGATTCGATTGAGTTTCTGTGCGGGCGGGCAGAACTTTCCGACACATTAAATATGAATGGAATGGCACGGTAATTAAGCCTAAACACAGAAAGATAAACAAACCGCGAATGGTCGAAAAATGCGATGAGGTGGCGCCATCGAAATGAACTTCTTTGACCAAACACATTTCCAATCGAATTATAAATAAACAGTGGCTGCCATAACGAAATAGGCGTCGACAGGAAGCCAATTCAAACAGCCCGAGTCAGCACTGTTCGCAAATACCTTATTTCCAATTTCTAATGGAATTGGCATAGAGAAGCCCTGGGCCTTCTGGCTGATTAGCCAATTTGAATTTTCAATATTTCCGGGAATCTTATTTTTTGTGGGGGGTAACGCGAAATATTCCAGCGATGTGCTGCTTACAAATGCGCATTGTTTCCGCATCCGAGCAAAATGAATTCACTTAGCCAGAAAGATGTGGCTTAAAGGCGGGAATTTCATTAATCTTTCTCGCGCGTTCCTTGGCATATTAAAATATCTCTTTTGTGATACGTGAATGCATAAAACGGGAGACAACGAGAGTCGAGCATCTTTGTGTAAGCTTTAAAAATCTCCCTCATAAAAGCCAACGTGAAACATGCAACAAGCTGGGTCAGGAAGCGGGCCAAGAGAAGGTGGCCTTCTCCACCGGCTACTGTGTCGAGGCTATACCCACACACTCCTGCTGGCCCACACACCCGCACACACTTGCACATGCCTGCAAACGAGTATAAGCCCCATTCATGTGGGATACAATGAGGCCCAGACGCTTGTCCAAGGAACTAAGACAAAGGATACACAGAAATCAAGTTTAAGTGCAGTTGAAGGCGGAAACGTGTGCCTCGCACGTGCAGTGAGAGAAACCACAGGACCACATTTCAAATGTACGCCAGTCAAGCTGATTCCTGATAAATATCTAACATTTCACTTACTTGTGATAAGTTCAATCGAATTCTCACAGAGCTTCGTTGGCTATAAGGAAATCCTTTTAAGTGGAAGTTGTGTATTGGTTAAGATCACCATTATAATTTCATTACTTTGCTTCGTTATTATTTGCCTAAATGAAGCATGACACCATAAAAGTCAACTTAAATAAATAGCTGACTATGGATATCATATTATGGGTATTAAAATTCAAACAAATGCCTTTTCACACAAGTCATTTTTCGGGTATGAGCCCATAAAAATAATTCATGTAATATGAATGCACAAATCGTATTCATCATCTGTTTAATTGCATTTCGGCTCGTTACCACTAATTAAAATAATTTTTTTAAATGAATAGATGGCAGGGCATTCCCTGTGCTACATTTTGGCCTGCATCAAAATGGGCGGAGTCGCACCTGACTATGTATTGGTGCCTGCTTTTAAATCAGAGACGTTCGCTGGCAGTTGCCAAGTGCCGCCTAAACAAGTGCAATTATTTTAATGCACTTTTGACTTGTGACATGGCAAGACAGCGCAACAACACGGCGACAGGCTTAAAGCAGTGCTCGAGCATTTATGCGGCTATTGTCCTGCCACACACACATACACACACCCAAACACACATGCACACACACACCTATGCAGAGCCACAAAGACAGTCACAAACACACGGCACTCGGCGGAGAGGACTCCTTGAGTCGCATCTGCCAAGGTCGCGGCGTGCAGTTGAACTTGACAAAGGATAAAGGATTCGCTCGGCATTCGCCTGGCGGCTTTAATTCTGCATGCAATTTCATAAACGTTTTGCCCCCCTCTCAGTTCGCCGAGCCCGTGCAATTTTCCATAATTTTTTTTCTGCCCGGGCCTGGAAAGTTAGGCCAGCGTTAACCCTTCAAACGATTCGCTGGTGAAACAAATTGAATTTATGTGCCAGCGCACACGACGGCACGCAGAAAAGTTGCGAACGTCACTGGCAGTGCCTACGCACTCCAGGGCGCCATCCTGCCGCCCCTCTTGCCACCCCTTTGGTGGCCAGGACATGGCCCATTTGTTCTATGACCTCTCACCCTGCGCCACCCGTTCAGTGCTCTCGCAGTTCGCCTTTCGCCAGCATAAACAAATTTTGCAAATGTGCGCATAAAACTTACGAAATTGCAAAAATTTATTTTATTTCCCAGCACAAACACACATACGAGTATAGAGTGTGGCAGTGACAAGCGCCTTTCCTTGGCGTTTCCTTTGTTATGAGGGGCTGGTATCCTGTCATCTTGGCCTTCTGCGTCTATCTGTGTTTGTGGCTCGTCGCCTTCTGGCGCTAATTTAATTAAGACTCATAGACAAAGAAGCCTGACGGACCGACAATATGTGTCAGTGCAATGTGTAGTAAGTCTTTTCAAGTGACTCCGACATGCCCGCCCACGAGTATTCTGAAATTTTCCACAGAAGACCGACAATAAACAAATACAAAATAAATATAATTTCGGCCTTTTACCGTCAGTCATAAAACACAAACGCAGGCAATTCAGTCAAGTACTTGGGCACGTTGCGTATACGACTCGTTGTCTGGGCGATGGCTGCATTTCATTTAATTTTACGCCTGCCGCTCGGCAAATATGATTTTATTGATGCCCCTGCGGCTTACATGTGTAAGCTAAAAATAAACTGATAAATTGACTTATTACAACATAATTTGCCTGCTGGCAAACTGGTGTGGGCAATTTTAAGTTTTTTTTTTTGAATGGCTTTCTGGGCCAAATTACAGGTACGTGTGTGTATGCGGAGGTAAAGCAGACAGGAAAGCATAATTTATGCAGGTAAAGTGCGTTTGAGGGAGAGAAGAGCGGGGGACGAGCATTTCATTAATATTAATTGACCAATTCAAAGGGACGGCAAACAAAGACCAATTGAGTCACGAAAATAAGCCATAAGAAAGGACAAAAAGTCAGTTAGTTCCAGGCTTACTTATCGCTTTTTTAAACGCACTCAGAGCCAGGACAAATGGGCCCAAATAAATAAAAATAAATATTTAAATGGCCAAGCCTTTTATACACGAATTTGCACAGCGGGCAGCCACTAAGTGCGGCGAATCAAATGGAAAAATGGCAACTGACACAAACATTGACAGGACCTGCTCCTGATGCCAAGTATGGAAAATTATTGGCGTGAGCTGCTTAATTAAAAGGCTCTTTACAAAAACAGGACCTTTAAACACTTTCCTACAACCTTAAGCTCCGCGAATTTGTTGTCCTTTTGGCCCTGTGCAAATTCAATTCGAGTTGCCATTGATAACGACTGACTGCAGCTGTGGCCATTTGACCGAGAACTGGGTCTGGCATTATTATACCCGCTACCGTAGAGTAATAGGGTATTCTAGGTTCGTTGAAAAGTATGTAACAGGTAGGAGGAAGCGTAAAATATACATATTCTTGATCAGGATCAATGGCCAAGTCGATCTGGTCATGTTCATCTGCCTCTCCGTCAGAAAAAAGCTAGAAAGTTGAGAATAAGCATGCAGATTCCAGAGAGTAGCTGACTAGCTGAGTAAGGGGTATCTGATAGTTGGGAAACGCGACTATAGCGTTCCATTCAGTTCACCTTCCATTTGGCACTGCAAAAACTTATCAATGGTTCCAAGTTTTGGCTCCTGTTTTGGCCACCAATGTCGGCGACCATTCAATGGTGTCAGCCATTTCACTTTAGCAAAAAGAAAGCGACGATAAAGTGAACATTTATTTGATGATTTTATACTCTTTTTAACGATGACCGATATGGTACGCTTAAAGAAAATATGATTTGCTTTGTATCCCAAATAAAATAGTCTTACTGATTTTCATTGTCATTTCCATTTTATACTTTAATCAGATATAATATAAAGTATGTATAATATGTATAAAATTACCTTTTTAAAAGGGCGTTCAACATTTTACTAGGGCCGCGAAACGTTCTCGCAATCAACTCGATATTATTTTTATGTTTTATTTTCGCCTTTCAATGTATCGAATGGATGGCTTGTCAAGTTTTGTTTCCTTGTAATTGAATATTCGCCCCCTTTGGAGTGGCGCACAGCAGCGATAATTAAGTATACGTGTCGTGGGCCCGAGCTGCCATGCCAGGACTCATAATGCACTGGCAATTATCGTCAGGCTGGCGGCAGATGAGCAGTGCAGCTCAGCAGCTATTAGACAGGATAATAGACACTCGAAATTGCATTCGGCTGGAGGAAAGTGCAAGGACCCACTCCCTCCGGCCGGACAGGACAGCATTAATCATGTGTCAGTGGCAGACAAAGGACTCGGTCGCTCTGGGACAGCTTGGCTCGCCCTTATGGGTTGTGATTTTTGGCCCAATTCCCACTCGAGTCACTCTTGATGAAGTGCGTGGGCATGGAAGGGGCATGGGATATCACACATACGCACTGGCGGCGACAACTTTTGGGCTGTCCACAGGCTGTCGGGCATTTCATGCACAGTCGAGCGGCTGATAGGCAGCCCTCGCAATTTATGGCAGGCAATTTGTATCTGTAGGTGGTTGGCGATAGCAGATAGGTGGTGGCTATGGCATTTGTCAGTGCCATTCGCAGTGGGCGTAGGGGGTGGGGATTTATGACAAGTGATGGCCCAGTGGATCGACCGATAATCTCTACTGTGCACAGCCAGGCAATCTCAATCGCAGTGGCACATATGCAAATTTGCCAATTCCCACCTCACTTTCTCTCTCAAACAAATACAGATAGAGCACACATCGAGTCCAATTCAAAAGTGAGGCACTAGGAAGCAAATAAGAGTCCCGCATGAGTAACAGCGCCATGGTGGCCGTGGCCATCTGCTGCATCCTCGTCCTGCTAGCCGTCTTCATCGTGATCATCATAGTGGTCGGCCAGACCATCGAGGAGCCCAAATGAGACATGCTCCAGCTGGGACCTGGCAACTTCCCAGATGGATAACAGAGGCCCCCTCAAAATTGTTAGTTTGCTGAGGCCGCCAGCAAAAATTTCGTTGCCCCCTCATCAGCATCCGCAAAATCATCATCAACATTACTTTCATCCGGCTGAAAAATTAGCAGAGGAAACAGAAGGATCAGGAGAAGCAGGAGGAGCAGGAGGAGCTGGAGAGGAGCACGTGGAGTGGAGGAAATGCGTCCCATCGTCAGTATCCATTGGCTGTGATGTGAAATTTTTTGAATTTGTGAAGCAAAAATCAATCGAGAAATCAACCCAACACAAAAGGAGCTACTAAATTTTGGAACATTCCGCATCCTAATAACACAAACATCTTCATGTAGCATTTCTGTGTGTTAAGTGTTGTTAATATAAATGTATATATAGACACACAATCTATGAATACAAAAATATATAGATATCTAGACATACTTACGTAATTATATATGGATATATGGATATATATATGTGTAACCCAACCGTCGTAAAGTTGCGTTCTTTTTTATAAAAGTGTTGTTAACAAACCGATTTTTATTGATGTTTTAAAGATGTTGAATACAACATATATATATACACACATACACACACGAAAGTGGAATAAGTTTACATTAAAAGTCCAGCGATGCCAGAATTGATGAGCGGAAAATCCGGAAACAGAAAATGAAACGAAGGATTAAGAAATCGGAGGAGGAGGACAATAGGGAATGCAACTGGAGAGCTCAATTGTTTAATATACCGTAAGATCATATCAATTCCGAAAGAAGCCAGCAATTGCACTTGTTAATTGCACAGCTATGAAGGTAAAACACTCGTGGGATTCTCAGTGGGAACTGGAGCATAGATAAAGCTACTAAAATATATGGAAGATATGGATTAAATAGCAGAGGAGATATGCATTTTATATATCAAAAACTTTTGGATAAGTTTTACGTGTACGTGTACCTAGGAGTAGCCAAATCTCGTGTATACAATATAAGCTGTTATCAACTATGAAACTTACTCACTTAAAATCAAATGAACTAGGAAACTTTAAACCCCACAAGCTGTAATTTAATTGAACCCCAACCAAACAACCAACTACTCCAATTAAATCAATTCAACGCAGAACGTACGTGCGCTCTAAAGGATAATAAAAACAACTTCCACTCAATTCGACTCAATTCAGTTTTAATCAATGCAAATGCCAGACTCAGCGAACACAATATTCGACAAATGATCAACGCGCGGCGCATAAATTAATATATTAATTAAATACAAACATCAACAAAAGTGGTGGAAGTCAGACAAGAGGACAAGGTAAGCCGAACATTTTACCGTGCAATAAAAAAACTTTTCCATGAATGTATCTACACCAATAGGCTCTGAATAGTTTCAATAGAAGATACAGTAAGATACTTGGATGGACCAACTAGACGAGGTCGAGGACGAGGACGAGAACGAGGGTGGGCAATAAAGTTTCATTGCTGCAGAGGCCCCTGTCAATTTGATTGAAATTGATATGCCCAGTTAATGGGCAACTGCAGTGCAAGAAAGACCTCCATGTAGTGTGGATGGACCCGTTCGCAGAGGAAACTCCAGGATGCCAGGCAAAAAGTCAAGTTGGTGAATGTTTCCACCTCAGTCCGCATCAAGTAATCATAAAGTGATGGAAATTCAATTTACACAGCATTAAATATGGCAAAAATGGGGCAGCCTTGTGGGTGGCAATTTATGTGTGTTTTCATGTCCTGTGTTTGTGTGGTTTATTATTATGCAGATTAGGGCAAGTTCTACCTTTACCTTTTGGCTTTGTCCCGACTTCATCCACTTGATTTTCAGCTGTGTCCTGGGTGTGCATAAAAAGCCGCCCCGAGCAGCTTGAACACGCCCCCTGCCACTCCGCCTCGACCTCCATATGCAAATTACGTTTCATTTTGAATTTGTGCTACCTTTTTGTCACACACACACCCGCACACCCGCACACTCGCACACTTTATGGCCATTCAATTCCTTGGCCAAATTGAAGCTGACGGCAAATGTCACGTTTTATGACCGCGTTTGCATATCAACAGTGTGCGAGGTGTGTGTGGCGAGGTTTTCGAGCTGCATCCGCTCCTGGAAGCACACTCGAAATGCTCGAGTGCCTATCTGGTTTTTCACTTAGTCAGCAGCATTATGCAAATGCGGCGCTGCTTCCAATTTCAATCTGTTTGTTTATGAATTGCTACTAACACAAATTAATTGTCCAATGCCAGGGCAGATTGTGGGCGGCAGTCGGTGGGCGCGGATGTGAATCGCAATCGGAGTCTGATGCTGCATTTGAATCTGAAGCCAAGTCCAAATGCGGCAGTGCGCAAAAGCAATTATCCAAAGGAAATTGCTCAATTAGAAAGTCGAATCGACGGCCAAACTAAAACACACAACAACTGGCAAAACAGAGACAGATTAAGCTAAGCGAGAGAGATTTAAAAGGACAACCCTATGTAGTTTATATAAGATTTCAAATAAGTAGCTTAAATTGACTTTAAATTGCATTGTGTAGCAGTCCTAACTTGCAGATAGAAATGGTTGATTTATGAAATAATAATTTGCAACAATAGCTACTTTGCTTGCTATTTTTCTGCTTTCACTGACTAGAAAAAGTTGTCTCCTTCAGTGATTTCGCAAAAGTAGAACTATCTCATTATTTTCGATTACATTTGCATGACGAAGGCCTCACAATGGCAGCCAGATAGCTCCAAGAATTGCAGTCAGCAGTCAGCGATGTGTAAAGCGCAGATAGAAGATGTCCACCTAATGTTGGCAGGACCAAGGACGAAGTGCGTGGGGATGGGGAGTAAACGCTGCCTAATGACTCGAAATTTAATGCAGTTTTGTGAAATGTAGCAAAACCAATTGGCTGGCTGGTTTTCGGGGTGGATTTTCGCAGAAGTCATGGCCGAAAGTGGAGTGGCCAAAATGGCGCTGAGTCAAGAGCCAATTAATCAATTTAGCCAGCCCTCAAGCTGTCTAGGCTATCAATTTAATGTGGGCACGTTAAGAACAACGGTCTTGTGTTGCCAGGATGTAACAAATGCCAACGTTTTTAAAACCAAATTACAGCCGTGCAAAATGATTCGACAACAAACAGAGATTTGGCCCACAGAACACACACAAGGGGCATATTTTTCATCTGTGGCACATTCCTGATGCTTTTGTTATTTCGAAACTGCTTTCGCTTTTTTGACCGTGTCGCTACGCATTTTAATGCCGCCAGCGAGACGGGCCCAGATTTATGCCCATTTATTGGGCATAAGTGTTGGCAATTTATGAACCAGCCGTGCCCTGTTTCCCCCACTCCAAAATTACATTTTAATAAGCGACTAAGAGTGCGTATGTGTGTGTGTGTGTGTGTGCTCTTGGGTGTCTTTGTGCTGAAATGAAGATTTATAAACCGCCACGAGCTGTTTTTCAACTCCCGAATGTCGGGTTCAGCATACCCATAAATCTCCCACAGAATCTTGTTTAGTTTATTGAATTATCAACGGGCGGATGTGTGTGAGTGTGTGTGTGTGTTGCTGTGAGTGTGTGTGTAGGCTTGACATTGTCTGACATAAAACTAAAGGAAATATCAAACACGTGCGCCAGTCACAGGGCACTTATGTAAATACATTTCCCCTTGACATCCCCGCAAACGTTTATATTTATAGTTTTATTTGTCTAAGGTTTGCCGGAGCGGCATTAAAATTTGGTCCCGTTTTCTACTTATCTACATCTCGCGTATTTTCCTCATTTCCCATACAATCAAACGCACACACACAGAGATCGCCTTCCATGGCACACGCGTTTCCACTTAATTTTCCTGACTCATTTAAATAAATTTGTTTGGTTTCTGTGCTCTTAAGTATGCGGAACACGTTTAGGAGGAAATCTGTGAAAAATAATTTTCTGTAGCATATTTCTGGGGCCGACATCATTGACTTGCAATTATGGAAAATGCTGTGAAATGTATTTATTTCTTTTAAGTAAGAACATAACGTATTCTGCCGGATGACCTAGAAAAACTTTGCCAAAAAATAATAAGGTCCAGTGGCGAAAAAACCACAAGACCACACAGGAAAAGAGAAGTCAATGAAGTGCTCCACTTGGAATGGCAAACCGAAACACGAAACTTGTGCCACACACACACAGAGCAGCACCGAAGAAAAACAAGAAATTAAAACTTTAAGCTTCGAGGCGCCGCAAAGGAAGCATTTCAATGTCTAAAATCTTAACATTGACAGCAGATGCTGCAGAAAAGGGGCACTAGATCAGGGTTGCGGCACAGTGCAGGCCACTTCAGTGGCAGCCCCATGGTGCAGCGTGCAGCGAGTCCAAATGGAAACCCATACCCATGCCATCCTACCATGCTGAAGACCCCTGCGATGTGCACTTGGCATCAATCAATAATTGCCCATTGAAGGCAGCTGCTGGAAGACTAGCTGGTTGGGTTGGCTGCTCGAACTGAGGATGCCACGCCATGATTGATTAGCGGCATGCAACACGAGGTGCTTCAGCAGAAACCCGACTAGACAGCATAATATAGCGCTTATCGAACTGAGTCCTTTGCTGCTCATTGCGCCTGCCACCTTTCCACCTCCCCCTCGATCCCTTAGTTCCTTTCTTTCCGTGCCATGGCCACAGGACTGCTCGCTGCTGGCTGCTGGTGATATTGCATTGTATCTTTGAAATCGCCTGCGCTGGCAGGACACTCAAGGCTGCTCGAGTGGCAGACGGTGTTCTTATCCGCCTCCTCAAATCTCTTTGACTGCCGCTTGCATTTCCATTATGTCAATTTGCTCCTTCTTCTCGGGTCATTTAATTGCCATCCCTTATTAGCCTCTGAAAAGATGTGAGATGCATCCGGCACCTATACACTTGACACTTATCTGGTGGGTGCCATTTTTCATAATTACTTAACTCAGCTGCCCTCGAAAATGTAGATGTATCTTTAAGATATTATTTAAATCTGATAGATAATTATAGATAATTGTTTTCCGTGCAGCTCTTTCATCTCGGAAAATCGCCTAACACATATTGACTCTTTTTTCTCCCTTTCGTTGCAGGTACGTTCGCAAGAGTCAATCAAAAGCGTGAGTAGCAGCCGCAGGCAATTTTATTATTTGCCACTTATCGATATAAAAGTTCTTGGTTCGACGTAGTCAAAAGTTCAATGTTGAAGCGGCCCTCAATTGCAGTCATCGAGTTCAGGGATCTCGGCAAAGTGCATAAATAAATGCAAAAGAGTTTAGGCCAAAGCCAGCGGACGGATCTCAAGTGGACCATAAGGTTGACCAAAAGTTGGGCATAACTTGGGCTGCGAGTGCTTTGGGTTTCCCTGTGACCCACGGGGCGTATGCATGATATTAATTATGAATTTAGCTCGCTCGCCAGAGCCATTAATGAACTTCAAGATAATCACTTGAATTTAATCACCCTACTAATTGGCCATAAATTAGTCTCAATTTACCTAATAGCCAGCACAAGTATGCACTTAGGACCCTGCAACATAATATGCATAATTATGCCAGCCTCCCACTCGAAATAACCAGGCCCGAAACCAGAACAAAAATCCAGCCTTGAGAGTCTTGAGCACCAGCTGTGTCTAAGATCCCCATCCATAGCCATAGAATCTCATCATCATCCTGGGCCATCAGCGCTCACCTGCCTTCGTCTTAATCAACGCGTTTTATCGCCATGATTTTATTTTTCGGCCTGGAATAAACTATTAGGAAAACTCATTTTCATGAAAATCCACTTTAATTGCTGTTACTGTTGTCGGCGTTTTGTTGCCAACGTTGCTGCCACTTTCCCATCTGGGGTTTTGGTTTTGGTTATGGCAGCAAGCCAGTCAGATATAATCCACTGAGGAAATCCGAGGCGCCTGCAGTGTATAGTTTACAATTATTTCCAAGGGAAAATTAACCTATGTATATGTTTCTCGGAGCAGCTTCTTAAAAAGTCGCCAAGAACATGACTTGATCTTTGAAAAGTTCTTATCGCAGTGCTTTTGATTTGGCATAAAACAATTGGAAAACGCCAGCATGACAAGTGGAATTAGCTAGTAGAGCCAGAAATAAAATGTGAAAAATAAAAATGTCAACTCAGAGCAGCCTTATAAAACAGCCTGTCACTCGCTAAGCTTTCGCCCGGATTTTCTCTCAGTGAGCCCCTTCAGAATCCGTGTATCAGTACGGCATGCCAGGCAGCAATAAAACAACATAAGGCGCTCTGCCGTCTCTCTGGTTTTGGGCCTCGTATTTGGTGAACGGTGTTACTTGTAAATTTAACGCAAATTGTCTGTAACATGAGCTCCTCCACGAAGGTGTCGACGGGGATGCCGGAGGCAGGGGCAGGGAATGGGAGCGGTACTGGAGGAGGAGGATGGGTCTGTGGTCGACTGGTCTTGGGGCAGGGGCATATAAGGACACTACGGGTGGCGGTGTAAGTGCCGACAGCAGTGTCAGCCATTAAATTTTCAAGAAGTGTGTACTCGAGAAGAAAACCCAGGCAGAGAGCAGCAGGCGGCAGGATCAGGTGATGGGGACTTGCCCCAGTAGACAGACGGAGCCACTAAAGATTATGTGTTCAGAAGGGCGACAAAAGTGCTGTAATGGAATCAGCCCATGAAGAATGTCTCGATTTGAAAAGTAACTTGAGTTACGCCTCGGGTGAGAAGTTTTTCCCTCACTGAATGAAAGTTTAACAAGTTGCGCTAAGCTCACACGAGTAAAATAAACCTACAAGGGCCTACGCTTTAGTAAACTAGATTTCATAAACAAGTGAAAACGAGTAGAGTACAATCGAAGATGAGTACGAATTGAAATAATATTTGAAAAATTATTAGGTGTGGTCTTTGCATTTTATGTGTTCCATCTTCAAGGATGTTCAACGGAATTTCCGAGATACAATTTCCCTTTGTAATGCAAATACCTCAGTGGTGCGATCCTTCCGTTCGGGATTATTAAATTCTCGAGAATCCAAGGCACATTCCCTCTTGTCGCCTGGCCCAACTTGTGTGTGTGTGTGTGAGTGTCGGTTGGGTTATTAGTGGTATTACGTGCCTCCTGGGGAACGTTTTCGTCATCGGCATCATCGTCAGCGTCAGCGTCTTGGTCTCGGTTTCGGTTTGGGTTACGGTTCGGGAGCATTTAGTGACACGCATCCTTGGGGCGCTATTTGCGCCACACCGCAGGCTGAGGTGTGTGTGAGCCGCCCAGTACCGCCTCCAATTACACCTGTTCGCAAACGGTAAATGTATTTAGCAGACAACTTGTTTGCCCAATGGAATGGCTGCCATTTAGCAGCTTTTCATTGCTTTAGTTAGTTTTTACGGCACGCAATTAAAAGCTGCTGCATTGTACAGGCTTGTTCCAGCTGCGATGGCATTGAAAGCGAGGCGCAGCCAACAAAAGGTGTAAATTAACATAATGACAGGGGCGTCGGGGGCACTTGGGCGCAAGGGGGCTGGATGGCAAGAAAACAAATGCCAGAGCAGAAGTGCAAATGCGTTGCCGAACACAACAAAAATATTTATGGCGATGCAAATGGCGTCTGCATAAAATTTATTGACACTTTACTGCGCATTGTCATTGCGGTGCGAAAAGTGGGCGGCGTGTTCGAGCTGCTGGTGGGCGGGGCACTTCCGTTTGCCAGCGTTTTGTGCTGCGGTTGACATTGCTACGCCCATCGTCACGGCCACGCCTCTCGTTCTTCTACCCGCTAAGCGTGGATTACAAGGGTACACATACATAGTATATGGTATTCGTGAAAAGGGATCCCACCGGAAAACAGCCAAACAGCCAAACAGCGCTATAAACGCGTAGTCCTAGGTGCTAGATTATTTGTTGATAAATATTTGGAAATAGCATACAGGATTCTCAAGGCTTAAAAGTCAGTCATAAAGTTGTCTAGAGGCAGGCAGAGCGCAGACTTCAGGGGTATTGTTGAATACTTTTGGACACTTTAATAAATAGTATGGAAACACTGTAAGTCACGAGGCTATAAGAAATCCAAATCCAAAATAATTATTCTTTGTGTTCATATTCAGATAAATATATTAAATAGTCAGACGCCTAAGGGGTGCCATACATCTGAGAGCAGGGTATCCCATTGTCCAGAAACTTTTCCCTAGAGTTCTTTAATTTTTTTGTGGCAAGTAGTCAGCCTTGCGTCGTTGCACGCAACGTGTGCTGGTGTGCGGGGGCGTGAGGTGGTTGTGTGTGGGTGCCACACAAATCCGCTTTCATTTTAATGAGCAAACTTTTGCTCGTGCGCCATTTATTTGCTGTTTAGTAAACTGCATTTCGGATAAAATGTCGCTGCTCAGTATGTATGCATGTGGGTATGGGTTTTCGAAAATTAATTTTAAACACCCATACACGGGAACAAAGGCGGTAAGCTGGGGATAATCGCACATATCGCTTGGCTAAAGGGATTGTATTCGGTTGCGTGAATAATTAAGTGGAAATTATGTAAACGGCTTAGTTGGGGCTTTGGACAACACAATGTTGACATGGAGTATTTGGTGGTGAAATCACAAAATCAATAGGCAAACAGTTTAGTCAGTTAAATTCGAGGCCGCCATTAATACCAGTAGTTTTCCGAATCTGATTTCCACCCAAACTCAAACCCAAACCGTACTTTCGGCAACTGCGAACCGCAGCTGCAGCTACACAGCCCACAAAAGCCAACACAAAGCATGGCCCAAACCGACCTTCTGCCCGAAAATCAAACACATCTCTCGGTCGACTCATTTATTATGTGCTCCCAAACGAATTTAATTACAAGCGAAACGCCCCCAAGGCTTTGGTTAGTTCTAACCGGTGTGGCCATTTATGTGGAATGCAAAGCTGTCAGTTATTAGCAAACTGGATCAATCATAATTTTAGGGATGGCAATTATCTAAAAATCTACTCAAGCAGGTGTTAAAACCACCCCAAAATATGTGCAAATTACAAACGAAATAGTACATATGATGCAAAAAGACCATACTTTACATGCAGAGGTGAAACAGAAATGTAATATTCCTGACTTGTTATTTTCTTGAGCCCAACTTGTCCTAAACTCACGAAAGTCCAAAGTTCTAGTTACAAGAAAATAAACACTCTTGGTTCTGATGGCATTCCAGCAATTCGAAGTTCATCGAGTTAAAGCCAGAGTAGTTGGATTTCATTTCTTAAACTAATTAAAAATATAGCAGAAAGTGTTTTCTATGGGAGGTCTAATTAAAGGCTTACGGGGCTTTGGAAGTAAAAAGAAGTGGATGCTGCTCAAATCACCTTGAACAATGCAGCGCAGCGTGCGCTAGTGTGTGTATGTGTGTATCTGTGTGTGTGTTTTGGAAAGCTCTTAATAATTTCCGCTGGCTTTGGCACACACAAACAGGCACTCTTACTTTACGTTGCGTATACGCCACGGCAGCCGACGCACGTCGAGTACATGAATTTCCTTTCCCAGCTGCACTATCGGTGGATTCGCTTATCGTGTGGCCAGCACCCACACCCGCACCCTCGCCCAAAGCTGAAAGCTGAAGGCTGAAAGCATTTGATAGATAGATGCGGAGCGTGTGAGCAAACAAACAGATGGACAGACGGTCGGACAGCTTGTCATAAAGTCGAGAAGCGCATTTCCATGTTGGGCGTCAAGTTGTGACTGAAACAGAGCAGAGCAGGAGTCCCAGTCCAAGCATATCGAAATCATTAACGCTGTCTATTTGTCTACCCCCCGTTTTCAAACCACCCCTCAAAACACACCCACTCCGCCCAACACCACCCACAACCCACCGTGCAGGCGGTGCTCATTTAAAGTCGAACGGCGCCGACGGAGAGCCTTGGATGCAGCCGGTGGTGGCCTATTTGGAGGTGTCGTCGCGACCCACGAAATCGCCAAGTAGGTGGCGTCATCTCACCCTTTCTCTCTTCCCCTCTCCCCCACAAACAGCCAAACAAGCAACCAACCACCCACCAGCCACCTCCCCCACCACTCACACACACCCTATCAAGTTGAAACCCCTCTCGATGTGTGTGTGTGCGCCTTGGGCCGCGCGCGTGTGTGTTTGTTTTTTGGTGTGCGAGTGCCTGCAATGCGCGCCCGTAGTTAACAGTTGCGTTTTACTGTCCACCCGTAGTTCCAGTGGCCCTAGTTGACCAACTGAAATCGCTTCCTAGTTGTACACATAGCAAACGAAAACCAAACACCCGCCAGAGAATAAGTCAAACGATTAGATATGCAGTGCCAATAAAATGTAACTATGCTATCTATCACCTAAATATTTAAATCTTGCGTATTTGCTGACATTAACGAAAAGTATTAACTTGAATGCCCATATGAAAGCAGTTTAACAGGATTCGCTTTGTGAATTCGCTTGTAAGACTAAAAGTAAAACTAAAACTTATCCCCAGCTGGAGTTTCATAACTAAATTGCTGATATTTTTCTCTGTGCACACAAAGCCATACACACCCACACATTGACATGCCTTGTTAACAGCTCTTGTTCCGCTGCTACGTTTGTGTATGTGTTCTGTATTGCTGTGTGTGTCAATGTCTAGTCTATAGCACCGCAGTAAACATCCTGTAAACTGATCATTGGCCATGTGGCGTGCCAACTTCGCCGCCCCACTGTTCTCGTCCTCTTCCACAGAGTGTGATCAGACATTCGTGTCGCGGATCGGTGGACCCCAGAATGGCAGCTTCTCGGCCCCGCTGCTGCACAACCATCGCAATCACTCGCGCCAATGCCTCTACACCTTCCTAGCAGGACCTGGTCAGCGCGTCGAAGTAGTTTTTAAATCGTTTAATTTAAGAGGAAGTCCGCCAGAGTGAGTGCACATTGAATGAACGGCGCCCATTTACCAGGCACTAATATTCCCTCTCTCTGCTTACTCCCTTTTCCAGCGGTTCGGCCGTCGGTGAGTTACCAAGGTAAGTAACTAGAACTAGGTCTTTATCAATGGACTTAAACGAGGATATATAACATTTCTTCTCGCGTTTCAGTTGTGTTCATGAGTACATGGATATCTACTCGGAGGTGCAGTCGTCGGAGCCAGCGGAACTGATCAATTCGCCATTCGGGGGCCGCTACTGCGGCACCATTCCGCCGCGTCGCCGCATTTCCATGTATCGGGCAGTTGCGATTTCTTTTTTTAGCAACAAGAACGTGACCACGGACCTGTTCGAGGGCACGTTTAGGTTTATAAATGCATGTGAGTAGAGATTATTGGGGAACTGCCTGAGCCGCCCACCGTTACTGACTACTGTCTTGTGATTTCCTCCCACCCGAAGCGGAATATGAAATTGGCATACCCATTGCGGGGTCGCCATGTTCCTACACGATAACGCCCAGCATGAGCGTCAACAAAACTGGTGCGCTCATATCGCCAACCTATCCAGGTGCCTATCCGAAGGATATGTCATGCACATATCAGTTTCTTGGTGAATCGAATCAGAGGGTTAGATTAGAGTTTCGTGATTTTGATCTATTTTTTGGTGGACCACAGTGAGTACCTCTAATGCTGCACAGTTAACACACACTCAAGAGACACACAGAGAAATCAAAACAGCCCATAATCACACAACCGGTAACAAGTCAAGATCAAAGCAAGTGCTGGCCCTGGCCAAAACTTGCTCTGATTGGCAGCCCACACTTCCACACTCCCACAATCTGTGAACTATCTAAACCGATTTTACCTTCATCCGAATGTCTCTAAAAGCAACTCTTCTCTATCCAATCTGCTATTCCAATCTGCAATTCGTCTACAACCAAATTTCAACAACATCACCACCACGCAAACCAAACCAAAATAAACAGCTGCCCATTTGACTATGTGAAAGTGTACGATGGTCCAGATAATTCGTCAGCATTAATCGGTACATATTGCGGGCAGCAAAGAAACTTAGTTTTGTATTCGAGCGAGTCGAGCCTTTTTGTTCATTTTTATACGTTATCGCGCACCGCAAATACCCAAAATCGTGGCTTTAAAGGAATTTATGAATTTAGCGAGAGTTTTGTTAAATTAGATTTTATACGTAAGTATTTCCCCATATCTATAATGTACACACCATGTTTGTTGTTTCAGTTCTGCCCATTCGGGCAACCATTTTGTGGTGCTCTTAAATGCTTACCGAAAAGTGTTGCCTACTTATTAGGGCATCGCACAATGGTTGCCACGGCGAATTGCATTCGTCAGCTAATTGTATGTGCTTGAACCAACCTATTCACTGGCTTTGTTCGTTTTGTGTGCTATTTTAATTTACATTTACCCAACTATCGACTCTACAAATTCTAATCTTTCCACACCTTCTCTCTACTTCAAAAACAAATAACTATTTCGACGCTATCTGGTGATTTCCGATCTGCTCTACCGAAATTGCTCTATCGAAATTCAAACTAATCATTCGCTACATAAAACGAAACTGCAATTTGTAATACGTAAATCAGGTGAAAATGATGGCATTCACATACGTGGCTCAGAATGTGATCAAAAGATTTTATCGAAGAAGGAATCCACTGGCTTTGTGCTCTCACCCAACTATCCCTATCCCTATATACCAAAAACTGTGTGTAGGTGAGTAAAGCTTCCCAGCTACTTTCTCCAATAGAGAATTGTTTAATTTAATATGTCCATCATCATTTAGATATTTCATATATGGCATGCAGGATGCCCAGCATCTGGAGCGTGTGCGCCTGGAGTTTAACGCTTTCAATATACCCAAGGTGGAGCACAAGGACAAGAGCGAGTAAGTAGTTTAGTAAACTATAAAGTTAAATAAATAAATAATTAATTTATAATCGCGCACTTCCCTAATTCAAATATATACTTTATTAAAATGTTAAGCTTAAATGTATATTACTGAACTCGGTCAATTAAATTCTATCAAAGGTCCAACTGCACGGACGGCTATCTAAAGATCTATCTGAAGGGGCAGGAGACGGCCGATGCCTACGACAAGTTCGACTACGAGTTGTGCGGCAATGAGACGCAGCGGGTGATCAGCGAGGGACCGCGGCTGGCCATGGTCTTCAGTTCGGGCGAGCTGCAGGGTCGTGGCTTCAAGGGCAAGTACACCTTCGAGACGGAGTACAAGATTCCGGGCACGGCGGCGCCGGATGGCACCTGCAGCTTCACCTACGTGAGCAGTTCCAAGAAGCGCGGCGAACTGAACAGTCCGAGATACCCCTCCAATTATCCCTCGGACACGAATTGCTCATATCTGTTTCTGGCCGAGGCCGATGAGCAGGTGACCATTGTGTTTGACCACTTCAAGATCAAGGCGGACAACAATGCCAACGCCACGGCGGGAGCTTATGGGTAAGAGCGGGCTTAAGTAAAAGTAACTATTAAAAGTAACTATCTACACATTCGATTTTAGCTCTGGCGCCTGCTTCGAGGACTGGCTGGAGATGTATGTCGTCTACCGGGACAACAACGACCGCCTGCTGGGCCGCTACTGCGGTCAGACAGCCCCCGGACCCGTCGAGAGCCCGCGGGGAGCGGTGGGGCTGCGGATCACCCTGCACACGGACCAGGAGAGCGTGGCCAGCGGCTTCAAGGCCCGCTACTTCTTCGAGTCGGCCAAGTCGGATGCCGGCGACTGTGGCGGCAACTTCAGCAACCAGGACTCGGGCCTCATCACCTCGCCCAACTGGCCGGCAGGCTACAAGGCGCCTGGTCGGGGCATGGCCTCCAACGCCTGCAACTGGGTGATGAAGGCACGCCCCGGCTACAAGCTGTCCATTCACTTTGAGCAGTTCGGCCTGGAAGGAGACCCAGCCAGTAAGTCACCGGTCGTGTGAGGATGGAGAAACAAGATGTTAATATTTAGCATCAGTATAATAAGTATAATAGGCAACTGGATACCAGAACTTATTCATTTAGTTAAACTGTAAATTTGAAGCATTTGAACTAGATAAGAAAAATTGCTCTATATAAATTGGGAAAGATAAACTATATCTGCAGCAACTATTTCTATTCCACTTCTGAAACAACTGCAACCTTTACTATAAATATTATTCTTCAACTCAGTGCGCTATTATATATTCTAATATTTTAATAATTAATGTTTACCCAGATCGCGGTTGTCCTGCCGCTGTGCTGCGGCTGTGGATGAACGTGGACTCCGACCAGCCGCCGCTGGAGCTGTGTGGCGAGAAGCCGCCCGTGGAGCAGTGGCACTATACCTCTACTGGCCAGACGGCGCGCATCAGCTTCACCACCAGCGACAAGACAGTGGGTGCCCAGGTATGTGTGACCACGATGATCTCCCAGAGATGGTGACCCTTAACCCTTCCACCCCACAGGGCTTCCGCATTGTGTGGACCGAGATACAGGACTCCGGTCCGGGTCCGCCGTCCGTGGGTCTGCACTGCGAGTCGACGTACCACTTCCAGTGCGGAGCCGGATACTGCATCTCGGATAAGCTGCGATGCGACGGGGTCAAGAACTGCGGACCCGGCGACGATACTGACGAATTGCACTGTGAGTCGTGAGTGAGTCGAACGGTTCAGTTCAATTTTTATTTGCCTTCTTTGCCTAAGTTTACGTAATCGAGTATCTTAAGTTTGTCTCGTGTTTGTGTTTCCAGTGCGTCCGCTGTGTGGGCGAGCCCTTCAGTTTCCAATCTCAGTTTTCCTTGGTTTTCCACGGTTACACGTTGTAGCTCATGTGCGATCTTGCGTTCCTTACACTTTTCTTTTGATGCGTGAAGAAAACTTGAACCCGACGAAACACTTGCAAACCGTTAACCACTAAATATAACAACTATATAATAACCGATACTAATTAAAAACCAACTAAAGTGACCTCAATCCATATCCTATATACCTCTTTCTCGCTAAGTCTTTTTGCACCTAAGTATTCGTATTTTGTCCTGAACTTTACTAGCTGTTTTGTTCCCTCCATTCTCGATGGCCAGACCTTTGTACATACCTCCTCCTCTTCGATAGTCTGGGGTGCTCCCTACCCTGCAGTTCACCAATGCATTTCTCTTTATCTCATCCGATTTATCACCTCGAATGGCATTCAGCACACTATCAACAGACCAGATATATGCCCAGATACATGATATCCGTCTGGGGATGTCTACAGCCACGCCCACACTAAACTCATCTTTCTCTCTTTCTCTCTACTTGTCTAATTCTCCCTCTGTTTCTCTCTGTTCTTTCTTTTGTCTCCACTAACAAACTGAAAAACCACTACCAACTACAAACTGTTCTACTGTGAAACTGTTTAAACTTGATAAACTCCCCTCCTCGAACCCGAATATTTAAAAATCGAAAAACAAAAAATCCCATCCTTGGCACAGGTGACGCAAACTCCACGCATTTGCCCACATTTCTACAGACATTTGTTTTAGCAATTACGGCATTAGTGTTAAATACGTACAACTAAAGTTAAACAAGAACAAGAACAACTCGAAAAATCAAAATTTTTAAATCAAAATTGGAATTGCCACGAGAATCAAAAACGTGAAACATAACTAAGATAACAAATTAACATGAATTAACATGAATGGAGCATTCTGCTAGCAAGAATTTGTACTCATTTTTCTAACAACAAAACGAAGCAACCAAACCAAAAATACTAACTCTAATATCTAAGTAAATGAAACTCTTGGTCACAATTAACACGTGAGTTCCGCATAAGCTTGTCTACAATCGATCCACACTCCACGCTCATGACATGCACAGAGTTCAAACCAAGATACATGCCATTCCAATCTAGAGAAACCCCCGAACCCATAACCCCAAACCACGTAGATTGCCGCAGTTGAAGGAGATCACAGTTCACAGCCCTATGAAAAAACGACCATCCCAAGTTTATCCTTTGTTGCATCCTTTAGTTCACCTCAATCGCATTTTGGGAGTTGAGTTTATATAGCAAGCATGCCTCCGAGTTTTGGTTCTGGCTTCTTTGTGTTCCTTTGGCACCATTCCACCTTCACCTGTCATGTGTGCACCGCATCGATCAGATGTATGTATATGTATATAGAGCATATATCTTCCTGGTGCCTTCGTTAAACTGAACTGAATTTTCTAAACCGCCCAAGCCTAAATATATTGAAATGCTAAACTTGTGTAACCCACTTAAAAAGCCCAAAAAATGGAAACCACAGCACACAGAACAAGAACACCAAGTTCAGACTCACCCACCCACATGACACACACTCGAAAATCTCAGCTAACTAGAGATCGCAACACACATTCCTAGCTATAAGGCATATTCTTGATGAACTAACTTAAAGTGTTCTGTTATCATTGACTAACGTATGAATCCTGTGCTCTTGCTCTCCCTCGCATTCTATTACAAATCATACAGGTACCACGGAAGCGGCCGAGGAGGACTACGACGTCCTAATTATAATAACGCTTCTCGTCGTCTCGTCCCTAATCTGTCTCCTATGCATACTCTGTCACTCCAGAAGAAGCCGTAGGAACCATGTCCGCCAACTGGGCCTACATCGGAATGCACATTACGACTCGCAGACCAGTGCAACGGGTGAGTCTCCAAAGATATCTTTTTATTCGGGATATACGTATTCAACACTTTGGTTTATGTTTTAATATAGGTTTTCTTTGAGTGTGGTTTTATTTAATTTGTTTTCAAGGTAATCTCTTTTGTTCTTCATTTCTTACCTTAGATAAGGTGTTTCTGGTATCTTAAAATGATGGAGTATTTCTTATTTCTTTACGTTGAACTAAATTTAGGGACTTTAATATCACTGATTTAAAAGAGCCCACAAGCTTAAGAAATATGCTTAATACCAGAAGCACTTTTATTAATAAGTAATTGAATATGTACAACAAATTTGTACAACTTTTTAATGTCTGAATCCACTTTCTTCATGGAGCAGCGGGTCTCAGCTCCAGTCGCAGGCATCTGCAGAGTGGAGGCGCCAGCATTGCGGGAAGTTTGCATGGGATCAACAGCGGCAACCTGATGATCCCGCCCGCTCCACTTCCGCCCACCAGTGTGCCGCCGCCACCCCACATCTGCATCGCCGGCGTGGACATGGGAATGGGGATGGGGATGGGACACGGGCTGATGTCCAACGGGGAGGACGACGAGGACGATCTGGAGCTCGACGAGGACCAGCTGGACGCGGACATTTTCATCAACGATGTGCACTTCGATGAGGACAACATCGATCATGTCAACCAAATGGCGAACGTCTAACGATGGTTCGGTGCAGCTTTAGGCACTTTTATCGCAACCTTCAGTTTCGGTTTTAAAACGCATTTAGAATAAGGCTATCTACATAGGTAATGGCGAACGAAGCAACTTTGCAGAGCAAGAACAGTAGATTACACACACTCCCACAGTGCAAACTGACACGCAGACACAGGATACAGTGAAACACGAGTACAGTAAAACCGGGAGGCGAGCAGAAACAAATTCAAAAGTTAACAATACCTAAAAGACAAGAAATTATGCAAAAATGCGAATTGATTAAGACGTAAATTTAATAACGAGCGAAACGGGATGGCTAGTAGCATTAGAGATGGCAGGCAAAGCGGAATCTAAGCTAAATAAGTACAGTAGGGCGAGCATATTGTAGTTGCGATAACACGATTAGCCAGACGAGTTTCACATAAGGAATGATGGAGGAATAAGAAACAAATAACAGCTACATTTAATAACTATATTATACACATAGCGAAATACGTACGGCTGAGCGCAGGTTGCGCACAAAGAGCACAGGTCGAAGGGTAGATGTGGAGAAAGCAAGGAGAAGCCGTGCGGCGGAAACGGAAACGAGCCAAAAATAGTGGAGCGGAAGTGCATGTACGAATCATTTTCATAGCCACAAGAGACCGCAGACAAGACGAAAAATAAAATAAAGTTGTTGATTTTTATATTTGATACGAGTAATATTTAGGTGAAGCATAAATTGAATTAATTATACAACAGAAAAAACGAATGCGAAATAACGTTAATAAAACAATACACACAATTCGCAAAACCGATAGATAAACCAATAATGAATAACGGCAGCAACATACTAAAGGGCATAAAACAATAATAATTAATTATCTTTACATACGCGCATGACTTTTTATTTACACATTTTGTACAAAAATCTTCGACCCTTGAGGCTACACAAATCAAACTTACAACCACAAAATGGAGAAGACGAAATAATGCATAAATAAAAGAATTAGTGACTATCAAAACTGTATCTTCCAGCAAAGAATTAAAGCAAAGAGTTTAATGACGCTAAATCGAAAAGTTTATATGAGAATAAAAAGGGAATTTGAATAAATTATAGTGGCCCCAAAGATGGAAAATGATTGCGAGAAATGGAAATTAAATAAATTCAAAGATTTTTGTCTATTTAAGCACATTTTTATAAACATTTAAGGCGAACAAGAATATTTATAAAAATGTATACGCGAAAGGGAATGATAATAATAAAGTAAATTATACAAAAAGCTAAACACAAAAATCTAAATACAGGAAACGCAATATTAAGTTTCTTTTTTGTTGGGTCGAATTCTATTTGACGATTGATTTTATTATAAATATTATTTTATGTTATTTTACCAACTTTATACACATGCAAACATGTTGCGAAGTTAAAGACGGTCTTAGTTGAAATCAGTTTCCTCCGTTTTGGAGCTAAATAATAAATTCCCCGAAATTTCCAAGAATAAATAATAATTATTGGTTTCATAGCGCACGTACGTTTTGCAAAGAAAATTGAGGAAATTAAAGAATACGGCTTAAATCAGAGATGGAAACTTAAACCCGTTTGACGTAAAAACCATTTATAATAAAGGTATGTAGGTGTTAAAAAATGCTACATTAATTAAAGAAGAATGATAAAAAAGCGAAAATAAATACAATTACATTGATGAAGTAAACCGTTGTTAAATTGTTGCATAAAAAGCATAATGATCAAGAACTCCTAGGACTTAATTCGTATAAATAAACTTTAGTTTAAGTGTACAAATTTTGTTGTTGTATTACATTAAAACCGAACAGAAAACCCAGAGCAAAGAATTCAATTAGTTAATAAAAACTCTAAATTTGTGTTCTAGCAATAAAAATTAAACATAAATTTAAAGAAAAATAGTACGAAAACGTAAAGCTAATAAAAAGTTTGAAAAAGAATGTCCCCAACAAAAAACCTATCCCAAAACCAAAAAAAAAAAATGTTCTAAACTAAAAAGTTTACTAAAGTAACACAAAGTTAAACTAAAACACCCCAAAAAAAGCAAATGTTAAAATTACAATTGAACCTATAAATAAGACACTTAAAGGAGTCAAACACTTTTGAATTGAGAGACGTTTTTCAAATTTCAAAACCCGATACAGAAATCAGAAAACCGAATCTCGGGCGCACTTATTGGCAGAGAACATGGCGCCATTTGCCAAAGAGAGATAACCGAATAACAAATAAAATAGTTAAATGATAAAACGCAGAACAAAAATTTCAAATTAAAAGGAAACACCTACAAAAACAATTCCATGTTAACATTAAATATAAATAAAGGTAATTAAATAAATGAATACTAAAACCAATTAAAAAAGTCACTTCTCGATTCTATTTTACTGGTGGGGAGGATCACTTTTATAACTTTTTTAGTTTCTAAATTTAATTAATCAAATGGAATTCCATAGAATTTATAAAAATATTTTCACTTGCGATAGTTTATTATTGGGAAACTGAATAAACAGATAAATTGTATAATATAATAAATGAAATGCATGCATCATTAAATCTTGTCGCTGAGCTAGTTTTGAGAATTTATGCGAAACTTCTCCAGCATTTTGTTGATAGCCTCCTCATCGCCATCGATCTTGGCCTTCTCCTGCTGCAACACCTCCTGGAAAGTCTTCTGTTTAGTGCCCACCAAGTAGAAGTCCTCATCGGAAATGGTGACCTGCGCATCGACACCGGAAGCACTCCCCTCGTAGATGTCCAACGCTTTGAAATCAAAGACTACGATGAGACGGTCAACGGTGGGCTAACCCACAGCAAGGCCTCCTCTTTCCCACTCACCCATGCTCTTGATGAGATTACCATCCACATCGGTGAAGTTGAACTGAAACGTGTTAACGACGGTGCGCCGGGCAGGATCTGATTCCTTCAACTTGTTGCGTATCTTCTCGATGATCTCGTCGCTCTTCATGTTGCAAGTGAACGGACTGAGTGTCGCTGCTCGACTAATTTAGGTGCTGGCACAGCAATTGAGGCAAACTCTGCGGATTAGCGCTCTGAGAGATTGGCGCTTTGCATAATGCTTAATTAAAGTCAATTTGTTTCATATAGGCAAGATTGAAGATATTGATGTGCGGGAATGGGTAAGGGCATGTGAAAAAACTGCAAGTGCTTTGGGGTCAGTAGGTATATTTCGGCAGCTAAAATAAGGCTACCAACTAAAACTAGGTGTGAAAGTAAGTTGCTTATATGGTCTAGGGCTTCCAAAGCCTCAGCAGGCCGTCCTCACTGTAGCTGGCCAGCAGATTTTGATGCGGATGATGTGTCAGGCCAATGACGTCCTTTTCATGAACCTATGGGAGAAATATCATGTTTTTTTTTTCAAAAGCTTGAAAACCAACAGTTTCTGGAGCAGCTTACGTTCAAAGTACGTTCGAGTTTGCCGGATGACACGGAGAAACAATAAAGCACCTGATCCTCTCCAGCGCAGTATATAAACTCTCCTCGCGGCGAAAGAGTGGCTGAGATAAAGGCTCCACCCTCGCGCTTTCCCGACGAGAAAGATCGCACAATCTGGCCCTGCATGTTCATAATGACTACAGTATTGGATCTGTTGCAAACAATGAAGTGTTCGGGATTCTTGGGCAGGATGAGGACTGTATTTACGGCCAGCTCGTTGCCAAGGGGCTTATACGTGGCCACGCACTCGGTAGTTTTAAGGGACCAGACCTTTACTGTGCCGTCGGAAGATGCGCTGAGCACGCTGTGTCCGTCAGGCGTAAAGGTTGCTTCGTTTACGAATGATGAGTGCCCCTTGAACTCCTTCAGCATCTTTCCTGACTTCAGCCCATGCAGTCTCACCGTGTAGTCGAAGGACGCGCTGAGAACCTGGCTGTTATCTCGCGAGAACTGCAGACAGGTGATTCCTTTGGTGTGGGCTTTCTCGAATTTCCGCAGACACTGGCCGGTGATTATGCGCCACACCTTGATTTGGCCATCTTGTGCGCCCGATGCCACCATTTCGGAGTCGCGTGAGAAGTTCAGCGCCAGCACCGCCTGTTCCATCATCATGAACTGGTCTTGCGCCTGGTACTTGAGATCCTTTCTCACCTTGCCGGTGGTAAAGTTCCAGACCTCAAGGAAGCCATCCACACTGCCTGTTATCAGATACTGACCATCCGGCGAGAACTGAGCGCACTCAACGTGCGACTTTTGGCCAAATTTGATTTGTCGGAAGAGCTGGGTGGGATACATTTCTTCTTCCTGATCCTTCATGGCAGCCTTACCGCGGAACAAATCGATAGTGGTGCCGGGCGGAAGGAGTCCCTGGTGCTGTTGCCACTTTAAAGCCTGTCCCAGCAGCGCCAAGAGCCTGGAGGAGGGCACCACATGCACTTCACCACTGAGCTCTTGGGCTATGGCCGTGCGCCGCTTCTCCTTGCTACTTCCCTCCGCATAGGCTTCCCTGGGATCGAAATAGGCGCGCTGCAGCATGTTTTCTAAAGACAATTAAACAAACGAATTAAAAAGAAGATTAAAGTACGAGATACCACGAGTGGCTCATATATTACCCAAATGAATGTATCGTTCCGGCTCCTGTTGCTTTAACATGCTCATGGGATCCGTCTGGCGGAGCAGGGACCTTGCTGCGCCCAATTCCCTGAGCTCAATCAGCTCCAGAACTATCTGCTCGTACAGATTGAGTAGCTTCTTATCCGGTAACTTGAGGGACTGGGTTACTTTTAGCACGGTGTCCCAGTGCCCGTTGGAGATGTCCTGCACAAAGCCATCCACACTGTCCACCGTATTCAGGGAGACACCCGTTTCCTCCTGAAAGTTTAAGATTATTAAAAGACCAACTCTCCTGGGGTAAAGGTACTGACCTGTAACGTTTGTAGGGTCTTCATAAGGTTGGACTCCTTCAGATACTGCTGGATGAGCCGAATCACACTAAGTTTGGGGGGTAGATCACGAAACTAGTAAAAACTGGGTGTTATTGATGGAGGTCTAATACTTACTCGGCTGATTCGATTTCTATGGACATCGCTAACCAAGTGCAGGGTCTAATAGGCCTTTAAAAATACGTTTTAATACAAGTTTTCAAGAATTTACAATAATATTGATAAAATACGCGTCTTTGTAGGGATGGCGAAAAACCGATATCTATGCACAGAACAGCTGGCCGTTATCGGTATCGCCGACAGCTGATTCTCAGCACAAGCGAAATCAATTTTATTTCACAAAGTTGAAAAATTAATATGAGACAATAAAGTTGTGTAAGCAATAAATCATTAACATTATTGCCATCAATGGTATTTGCAGTTAATAAAGTTGTACCAACACTAACGCCGTTGTAGACAGGACATGTGGAAAAGAGACATCATAACATTTATAAGTAATTCAATCAGTTTTGCTTGAAATTTCAACTTTTGCAAACTTATGCCGGCAATAGAATACACACACACACAAATGTACACTGTTGCCGATCAGCCGGTGAAAAAAACAAACATGACTATAGGAAACCCGATTAAAAAAAAAGAAACAAATGGCGGTCTTTCCCGCTCTTTTTGTTTTTCGGCGGTAAACGATCTCACCAGTCGGGTTGATTCAGTCACAATTTGCCCACCGCCGTGTACAGTACTCCATTGAATCCGGAATAGCCAACTCCAACCCCGATCCGTTTCTGCTGTACTGTACCTGAATCATAAAGTAAAATCCCGCTTTCTTACGTGTAGATCGCGGATTGTCCGGACTGATGGCGGAAGCAGCATCCTGTGCCCGAAAGGGGACAAAGTACGCTGAGGGCACCCAGCCCTTCACCGTCCTCATCGAGGGCAACATCGGCAGTGGGAAGACCACGTATTTGAACCACTTCGAGAAGTACAAGAACGACATTTGCCTGCTGACTGAGCCCGTCGAGAAGTGGCGCAACGTCAACGGGGTCAATCTGCTGGAGCTGATGTACAAGGATCCCAAGAAGTGGGCCATGCCCTTTCAGAGTTATGTCACTCTGACCATGCTGCAGTCGCACACCGCCCCAACCAACAAGAAGCTAAAAATAATGGAGCGCTCCATTTTCAGTGCTCGGTGAGTGCATTATCCCCGTCATCCGGTTTGAACAAAGGCGCTAATTTTATGTATTACCAACTGCGCTGCAGCTATTGCTTCGTGGAGAACATGCGAAGGAACGGTTCCCTGGAGCAGGGCATGTACAATACGCTCGAAGAGTGGTACAAGTTCATCGGTGAGTCCATTCACGTGCAGGCGGACCTCATCATTTATCTACGCACCTCGCCGGAGGTGGCGCACGAGCGCATCAAGCAGCGGGCTCGCTCAGAGGAAAGCTGCGTGCCGCTTAAGTACCTCCAGGAGCTGCATGAGTTGCACGAGGACTGGTTGATACACCACAGACGCCCGCAGTCGTGCAAGGTAGTTCCAGGAAGTTCCTGACATTTACCAAAGCCGCTAAATGTGCATTTTTCCTCAGGTCCTAGTCCTCGATGCCGATCTGAACCTGGAAAACATTGGCAGCGAATACCAGCGCTCGGAGAGCAGCATATTCGATGCCATCTCCAGTAACCAACAGCCCTCGCCGGTTCTGGTGTCGCCCAGCAAGCGGCAGAGGATCTCCAGATAATCATATTCCTATTAGTAGTAGTACAGACGTTTAACATCATATATTTAAGAGGCCAAGACGAGCCGAACCGCGAGACAAAGGCAGAACTTGATAAAAAAAAAGTGATTCATATTAACAATTATAATTCACATTATATTCTCTTAACAGAACTCTCAACTCTCATTGTAATAAAAACTGAATGTTTATGTTAAAGGCATGGCACCTAATATTTTGTTGGTTAGCTTTTCAGTTCACTTGCATTTTAATTATGTACGTTTTTGTATTTATTGGACAAAGATAATCAATTTCTGAAAAGCGTGACATGGCACCTAATAGTTTTGTTAGCATTTCAGTTCATTTGTGTTGTATATGTATTGGACTAAGAAATCAATTTATGCGAAGCGTGGCCTTCTCTAACTTACTAAAAATATTGTTTTCTTTTCTTGTAGTTTTAAGGTTAAAGTATAGCGCAATTTATTTTAAAAATAATATATAATCAATCATTGAATAAAATGTGCACTATCCGTATGTATGTACATAGAACGTGACCTTATTGCCACATGACGCCTCAGCAAAAGTATGCAGGGCCGCTTAAATTAATGGGTTTGACTTTTTTCAAATAAAATAAAGAAATCAGTCTGTTAGCTTTGATTTTATATTATCTTTTCAAAAACAACAACTGGCTCAACAATAACAAGATGCGTAACGGCCATACACATATGTATGTACATTAGTTTTTTGGTCAATTTCGTTGTAATATGATCTAGTAAAATATTTAAAAATATATCAAATTAGCTTTTCTAATTAATTTCTAATTCTACAAAATAATATTTGCATTTGAAATACTGAAAATTGCTCATTTACATAAGTATATATATTTTTGTTACTTGTATACTAGTATACTTGTATACTAGTAAAGAAACTTCATATGCAACCGGTTTATTGCAAAATTGAATTCTTGAGGCAGGACCAGCGCACCTAAGAATCACTAACATCAAATATTTTTTCCACGTAGCAAGCTGAATACTCTAACGACAAATTTTCTAGTATAAAGTATTTTATGAAATTAATTGGCTATAATTATGTACATTTATGCACCTATTACTATTACTATGATTTTTTTAAATAATTATCATGTTAAGGCAATGCAAAACCAGAGGTTTTTACATGGTGGCAATTGATTACAAATAATATAGATTGAAAGTCCATTAAATTCTGTAGTGAAGGGCATATTTTGTCAAATTTACAATACATGAACATACGTGTGCACACTTACAGTGATCGACTGTATGCGTACACGAGAGCTGCTGGCCCTAGAGCGCTCTCTCTCTGGCCTTAGAACAAAAAAAAGAGAGCCTGGAGCCAGCACAAAAAAATCGTGTGCAACAAAATCGTATGACGTTACGCATCTTATTATTCTAGTGTCTTTGGTTTGACCGCTAAAACTATTAAATGAAAGTATGCATTAATTTTCAAAAGAAAATTTCCAGAACGGCATTAAAAAATTTTTAAAAGACATTGTTGTGGAGTTATTAAATATTTGGTATTCCCATCAGTTTTATTCATTTTTTCAAATATACGTACGGTTTGGTAAGGAATTATATTTTTTAATTTCACATGGTGACATTTCTGACCATGTTTTTATTGCTTGAACTAGAGGCCCAGGGTTACTAAATTGTTTTGCTATTTCGTATACTCTCCTTGATAAAGGCCTAAAATGTTTTCGATAATGTTGATGTCAGGGGAGTAAGGCGGCCAATCGACCAATTTGACATTTTGATCCTTAATCCACATACAACCCAACCGGGTTGGATGGGAGCGTTGTCATGTTGGAGCGTCCGAGAAATATGGCCATAAATAACCGAAATCGGGGGAAAAGCCTTTTGGAGTACAGTCCTGTAAGTCCTCGCATGTTCCATAAAAAGAAATGGCACCATTACTCCACCTGCGCAACTGTGATGTCGACTTAAGAAACATTCTTCCTTTCTCACATTGTGGAAATAGTAATTCTTTCGTCTGAGAAGACCACAGTCCTTCTTTTGCATATTTGGAACAATGTGAGATGACAACATGTATGTTAGATACGTTTTTCAAACATATTCAGTTGAGCGGCACTGTATATTCCTCATTTATTGGTTTCCACCCACAAAGACAACCAGTTGTTGAGTCAACTTTCTTTATATAAATGTATATAAGTTCTCGTTATTGGGCTTACTTAAATGCTACGGCTTAATTAGGACATCTCAAGGGGGGCACTCCTTCTGTGCTCCGAATTAGGATGCTGTTCCTGAGGGCGTTCACTTGGGTCCGTTCATGATTCCTGGACGGACGCCGGGTATAGTGCCCAGTGGAGGCGGTGGTCCCATCATGGCCATGGGATTCATGATCGGTGGCGGTCGCATGCCCATCATTGGGTTCATCAGTGGAGGCATGTATGGCATTCCAGGCATTCCCGGACGCGGAGGAGCTCCCATGTTGGGCGGCGGAATGGACACGCCCGCCGGCTTCTGAGGCGCCCCTCCTGGCCCTCCCGCAAACGGATTGTTGGTGATCTTGCCCGCTTTGAAGGCGGCGGTGGTGGCGTCAATCAAATGCTGGGCCTGTTCCTCCATCCACTTTTGGTAGTAGAACTTCACATTGTCGCGGTGCTTGCGGCCTGTGCAGTGGGTTTTCCGCACGGAGGGCGAGTCGTGGGTCAAGTACGTGTCGCAGTAGTCGCAATAATACTTTGGCATTGCGCTAATTTATTTATCTAAGCGTGGAAATACGGTCAACTCCAGTTTTATTTATATTTTTGCAGTCGTATGACCGTATTTGACAAGGGTTACAAAGTACTAAACATGCTGCTGTCTGGCAGCCCTGTCCTTGTGTATATCGATAAGTTTTACAGCAACATTCAGCTTGAATGTTGATAATATACTTTCTATACGGTAAATTGTTGAATAATGCTTATTACATTTAATTCTTAGCTTTGATTATAAACCATTTTTTATTTCCCTTACACTTGCACTTATAAATTTGCAACACAGTAATAACATGAATTCCAAGCACGCTTCTAAAATAACAGTTTTGGGATGAGACACTTAAATCACTTGTGTGCCCACTGTGCACTGTTAAATGTGACACCATGTAACAGACTGTAAAGTCTGCACTGTGTCCTTGCTAATCTCAGCCGTGCTTCGAACCAGGGGCTGTGAAATATTTATGCTGCTTCAGGAACGGCCACACAGGCAGATGATGGATGTGCGGCCGCACTGCCGTTGCCTTGTATTGGGCACACTGGCAGTTATTTTGAAACCGGCGAAATACGAGGACGTCAACGCGGACGGTCGGTTTTTGTATTTTTGCCGGCTAAACACACCTTTCGAACGACGCGTAACGGTGGCCGGGCCATAAAATCGCCACAATCACGGGCAACTCGAGTGCGGCGTGCTAATTATGCGAGGCTGAGAACTAGCCAGAAAAAAGAGCAGAAATTAGGGGGGGCCAATAAACCAGTTGATTTAAACTAGTTTGTGAGTGCGTGTGAAAAGGCCAAGGAATTTGGCCGAAAGTAGTAGACAATAGCTAGGAGGCTGCGACTGCGGAGGATTCAAGTCCAGAAGTTGTCCGACCAGTTTTCGGTTCCCGGTGTGCGTGTGTGTGTGTGTGGGATTACTTGGATTACCTTTTATTTTATGTTGGTCGGTGCCTTCGAAGCGGAGCGAATGAATCGGAGCAGCTAGTGGCCGCCAGAGAGATCAAGAGTGAGAGAGCGAAATGCCCTTCGTCCAACGCGTGGTGCAGCCCGTCAATGTGGCCCAGGCCACGGCGGCCAGCTTGGGCCACGCTTCCGGTCGATTCCACTGCACGCCGGGCAAGTGCCGGAACAACAACTGCATTAACAAGCAGTCGCCGGATGGAGAGGTCCCCAATGGCCATGGATCGCCAACATCGCTCACCAGGGTGCTGGTTCACCAGGCGCCGGAGGATCAGCCCGTGCCGCCCGCTCCGGCACCAATGAAGAAGCTGAAGCACCATGTCGAGTTCCTGTCCACCTCGCCCACTCGCCACCAGTCGCAATCCCTGCCCAATTCGAGGCATCCCAGCCAGCAGAGGCCGGCGCTTGGAAGGATCGCCAGTGCGCCCCAGTCGCCCACCGCCGGCTCCTCCAAGGTGGTATCCGGCCACGAGTTCGACTCGATCAGCAACATAACGCTGAGCAACGCCCTGCGGCAGCTGGCCAGCTTGGTCCTCATAGCCAGCGACATCTTCGATGACCTGCAGCGGGATCTGCAGGCGGTGGGCGAGCGGGCAGGTCGGGTGCAGCGGAAGATTGCCGCCGTGGAGCGACGCGTCTGTGCCTACGATCCGAAAACGGTCACAGTTCGTAAGTAGACCCATTCATCTTCCGCCTTTTCAATCATAAGCACAATCCTTAGTCGTCAGTGCAGTTATCTAGGATGTAAGTGGGAGCACCACCATGTGTATTCCCCCACGATTCCCTCTCAAAGTCAAGTGCGTTATCACGGACGGCTTATCGCCCGTCATCTGCCGCTTTGTATGCGTGGAGTGGCTTCTGTGTGGGTGGCTGTTTGGCGGAGAACGTGCTCCAATCTTATCTGCTTTCGCAACACGCGGGGAATTCAATTTGCAAGGGCGCAAAAGGGAGGAGAAGCAAAAATAAATTAGTGGGAGAAGTGGGGAGCAGGTCTAGCTATACCCTAGCAAAGTGTTTTTACTCGGTGATCTCAGAACAAAAACATATTAAAATATTAGGTTATATTCTTTTTCGATTCCAGTGTTTCCTTTTTTATATAAATTTTTTCAAAGTAAAAAAAATGATTATCTTTATTGTATATTTATATTTTATTGGCTAGTGCTGGACTTTACGATCTAATTAAAGCGACAAGCTAAATTTTTGATATAGTAATATATTGCAAGCAATATTAAAGTATCATCATGATACACATATCAAGCTGCGCCGAAAGCCGCCATACCCTGCGTATACCCTTTTTTCGGAGCATCTCGGTGAAGAGAACCCGAGGGAATGCCGAACCAGTGGAAATTAACACCTTGTTTACTTTGTCGCCTCCGCTGTTTGGCTCCTCCCCGATCGCCCGTCCTGCCATTATTCCATTATGCCGAGGTGGGTGAGTGGGTGGGGCTGGGTGGCCTGCTCATACAATTAGCTTCTTGGTCGCGTCCAGCGAGGCTTCTACAATTACCAACGAGCTACGAGCACTTAGATAAACGGTCTAAAGTCGTTTGGCTCATTGTTTTCGCGACCTTGTGTTAAATACCTTCCAGCACGAATGGCCATTTATGTGGCAAGTGCTGCAGTTGTTGTTGTTCTAGTTGCAACAGCAACAGGTTATCTGCAGTGGCTGTCAAACTTCGTGATATGCCCAAATCCGATTTTATTTCCTCGGCTCTCCGCGTTTAGCACTTTGCTTCGCTTGGCACTTTATCGTTTTTTTATTTTTCTGCTTGCAATCCGAATTTTGTTTTTCGCTTGAAAACGTTCAATAACTTTATGAAATCTCAACGGCAGACTGGCGACGCTGACTGCAGCTTTTTCACTCCGATTTGATATTGTTGGCATTATTATTGTGCACTTAGCTGCAGACTTTACTGTGTGAGGAGCTCAACGTGGCGTACGATCCATTGTCAGCTGTCATTTTGCAAGAGCTCACTTTGTTTACGCCCCTCTGTCGCCGTCTTTTGGCTCCTTGTCAGCTGCCCGAGCGCAAAAACCCAGAAAAAACACGAAAACAGCAGCTGCTGCTCTTTGGGCTACTGCATGCGCAATCGAAAACGTCGCACTAATTGCTCAGGTATGAAGCCCGGGAAAAACAAGAACACCACACACTGTATGCGCGTACAGCTGGGGCCACAAAAATAGCTATAATAATAGCTTAGGTTAATAAAGTACTGTGATATCTCCATAAAAATGGTCATTTATATGACCAAAGCCTACACTAATATTCATATCCGTCTCGAAATAGAACTTTCTTATAATACAACTAGCATTGCTTCCACTAAATACTATAAAGTATTTTTAATAAGTACATTTATATTTGCTCACTAGGCGGTTTTTTTTTGTCTATAGTTGTTAAATGCAATTCCTAGTTGAGCATTTCGCAAGCCAAATTTTAAAAATAAATAATCAAGGATAGACATTTTCCTTCTTCTACATATTATCAAGATTTGTATTTTACATGTCAGGGCTATCTAAAAATATGCCCGGGTAATAACCTTCAAAACGGCCGAAAACATAAAATTTAATTAAAATTATATAAAACTGTGCCACAAGCAAGGTAAAGTGTCCGAAACAAAAGATAATAAAACCTTAAGATTGTTACAATGTTCCAAAAACCCAACTTAACTGACATAATAAAAACCATATGTGTAGTTATTAAGAAGGCAACAAAGAACCCCTGTCCAGCTATTATTTTCACCCTAACTGTGGGCTGTTAATTTTGAAATTTGCAATTGCTTCGCCAGTGTGGACTCCTTCAATTTACCTCACCTGCTCCTTTGTCCCGCAGCCTTTAATGTGCTCATATTAGAAATGCCATTACATCGCGCCATTTGCGGCAACTGCTAACCTAACCACCACTCGGAAAAGTGGCTCTTTTCCTGGGCAAGTGCAGCCAAGCGTACGAAGCAGTTGTCGAGGGTAATTTCCATTCGTGCTCCGGCTGTTACTGCTGCGGGCCTACGGGTAACCATGGCCAACTACCGCCTATGAACTACTAACTATATCTGCCAATCGATCGGCCATATTGCCGGGCAACAACATGTTGCAGGGGAAGCTAAAGAAATATAGATGGAAGTACGTGAGCGGCATGGACAACCGGCGAAATGTTTGGACTCAGCAGGCGCTTTTCGCAAAAGAAGGCCCTTTGAAGAGCACAAATGCCGCTGTCCACTTACGCACTTCCCCACTTCGGACACTCCAGTCAGCTCTCTGGTCTCTGGTCACTGGAAACTTGATCCCGGGCGGAGTACACATGTGCGTGGGCATCCCAGAGAATCTGAGATACTAAGATACTACATAGATGCCCAGTCACAGGCACACATGGCCAGATTGTTTTCAGCAGGAAACGAGCATTTGTAATTACAGCCACAGTGGGGCATAAATAACGCGAGGCCAAAAAGATACGGCCCGCATCCCAGAGATACACGAAAAGCCGAAACCGAAAAACCTGTTCCCACCTGCAGCATTGCGTGTCTGTATGGGTGTGAGTGTGCCTCAAAAACTAAACAAACAAGGCAACGAAATATACAGCCAGCTATGAAAATGCCTCGTCTACACAGTCCGAAAAAAAGATAGAAAGATACTGTATCTCTAGGCTTATGTGTCTTTGTCTGCTTGCGAGAATGTACTTTTTTTTGTCTTAGCTAGCCACGCATTATTTTTCAAGTGCGCTGATGAGCATTTGATTGTTGCAGTCAAACTTTGCCCAGGGCTCCCCCTTTTTCCCCATTTTGGGGCCAATACAATCCACTCAACTTCGGTTGGTTTCGCCTTCGCTGCGTCTGAAATTCTGACTGGGCTCCTCTTGTTTATTTTCCCAACATTTTTCTCTCACTTGAAGCGCAAAACCGAAATGTAAACCAACCAAACAACCAGTCCAGCCAGCCAGATACAGATACAGATAAATAGACGCGTCTGTCATCGTGTGCATGTAAACAGCGGCGGGATGGAAGGAGTCTCCGTTCCAGGCCCGATAACAGTCTGAATCCCGATTCCAGTCCCTATCCACACCGAAGAATTGGAGAGGACTTCACTGGAATTATGGAGTTGTCTGTGCAGCTTTCCTCATTACAAATTAGATCCAAGAAACATTTTTTCGATATTTTTAGAATTGCTTTACTA